GTTTAAATAATTCACTTGAATTTAATAAAAATTTAAAACTTTAAAACTAAAAAAAGGGAGAACAGACCCCGGAGCATTGCCCGGGTTTGAGAGCTAGTATTTGTCTCAAAATAACGCCCATATGCGTACTCAAAATAACACGCATATACTCAAAATAACCCGCAGATGAGCGTTATTTTGCGAAAATACGGTATAACTATTTAGTTAGCTTAAAACACTAACTATTATATTTTGTATAATATATATTAAATTTGCAAATTTTTATATTTGTATCTTTAATTTCTAAATACGTATATATATTTTGAAATTTACTAGACTAATTTTGACGATAAATTTTCTTATTTTTTAAAAATTATTTGAATAGTTATTTAATTACTTTTAGTAGATTTGTTTCTTTGCTTAAAGAATAAATAATTCAACTTAAATCAAAAGTTTCTTTTAACTATTTAAAATTAAGAAACAAAATATTAAATAAAAGTTTATTAAATATCAAAAAATATATATTCTTTAAATTAATTATTCTGTGTGAATTTACATATAAAATTGAGGTATATCATTTCATTTGACCAATAAATACAATATTTTGAACCTTTGTAAGAAGGAATGCCCCCTGTCTGTTATAAATAACCTCTGTTTTAATTTAGTTTAAAGTTCGAACCGTTTAACCACTTGAAAAATTATTCCATAGCTCCGGTCGAATTATGTGGACATCTGCGGCCAAAAAAATTATTTGAACTAAATAATAAATGGTTCCAATCCCATTTTAATTTCAACTTCTAATAATAATACGTATAAAATTACTTTCTATAAAAGTAAGCATCTTTAAGCGTACAGTTTCAAGAAGACGTATATATTAATTATTAACTTCTTTTATTATATCTTTTAATCTTCGATTTTTAAAATATCTTTAAACCAGCAGATTACAAATAAAGGCTTAAACCCAACAGATTTTACAGAAAATGTCATGGGTTCATAAGGCATGCACTGAAATTCAATAGCTAAATCAGCAGCAATTTCGTGAGGAAAATCTTGAGATTTAGAACATGTACCTAAAGACGACATTAAAATTTCTGAAATTTCTAGTTCTTTTAATAGTTTTGTATTCATACCGACACATTCATTAACATCAGTTCTTTTATATTTAATGGTATCAAAAAAATTATCCTTTGTCTCGGTTTTATTTTTACCGTTGTCTGAACTTTCATCTGCATTATTGGCATCTCCCCCTTTTTCCTTAACATAACACTTGTCTCTGATCTCAAGGCTAGATTTACTTTCATCAGTATAATAACATTTAAAAAAAGCCTTCATACCCATAAACAAATCTTTAACCAACGGCTTTTTCAAACTAGTATTAATTGGTAAAAACTCGATCATAAACTTTGTAGTATATTTCTCCGGCTTTGGAATTGTTCTTAACTCCATTTGGATTTCATGTTCTGTTGTTATAACTTTAGAGAGATCATAACATCTTAGAGTTAGCGTAGCAGCAATTGGATAGAGTCTTGAGAAGTTATCAATGATACGTGTAAAAAGAATTTGATCAACTACTTTTGACCAGGTTTTACAAACTAAACGAAGGTGTGGGAGATCTGAGAAATAAGAGATGTAAAGAAGAATTTTCTTTATAAGTGGGATGGGGAGAGTCGAGAATGGTGAAGATTTGGTAGCAGGAAATCTATTAAAGAACTATATATTATTTATATGAACTACTAAGATCGGTACTAGTATGAAGAAACATATCAACATACCTATGTTTTAATGAAGGAGTGGACTCTTGAACTGTAAATTTTGATGTGCTAATCATGTTTTAATAAATATTAATCAATGGAACAGTTTTTTTTTTTAATGAAAAAAACTTTAATTCGTATTCGACTTTAAGAGATAATTCAGAAGAAATTTTTAATCATGTTACAAGAAGTAAATCTTCGTTCAATATGCAGAAAGTCTAATCTGTACTTTTATTTAACACGCACAGATTGCATAATTTGTTGCACAACTTGTATAAGATTACCAGTTTTATGCAAAATATATAGTTAATACGTATCAATAAGTCGGTAATGCTCTTACGTACGTACGTACGTACGTATTTCAGAAATGTGAAGCCGAAGTTGCTTCAAGATTTCCAAATTAGAAATGGTTCGATATATTTAACAATTATCAGTATAATACTTGTTCTTTTAATATTATTTTTTTTAAAAAATAGATTTCTTTTTAATGTGTATTTTTGAAAAAAGTAGGTTTCTCTTTAAATATTATTATTTTGAAAAAAAAGTAGATTTCTCTGACAATTAAATGTTCAGAGTCAATGCGATCCGGTATGTGCGTACAGAAAAGCCGGTTTCAGTAAAGAATGTACTCTGTCACGCATTGGTAACTTAGAAATTACGTGGAATGAATTTTATAATGTTGGAATTCGAATATTAATGATAGATTTAAAGAATCACATTTTAAGTTCCTTAGGGTTACGATTTTTAACTAGTTTTATAGACTCTTGTGTTATCTTTTAATATTTTCGTCAAAGAATATAACAGATTAACAAATTCCTATAGAACATGAACGAATTATAAATTATAAATATCATGAGGCAAATCTATATCACCATCAGATCAGGTCTTTAAAAATCGTTTTAGAATTTAAATTATAAAATTTGCTTTATATAGTGATAATAAATCAAACTTTATGAAAAATGTATTTACAGTATTTTACAATATTTATACTATAGTGATAGTTAAATAGTAAACATAATAATCAAAATGACGCGTCTAACTTATGATCATCGTAAACGTATAAACTCAAAGTAACGTTTTTTAATATGTTATATGAATATTATATATTAGGAAATAGAACTTACACATTAGTTCATATTACATTAGTTCATATTAGTCTTTTAATAAGCTTAACTATATATAATGTGTATGAGATTCTTCGATTGAAATCTATATATAATGAGCTTCTATAAAGATAACGCGAGACTCTTTGTAAAGTCGTATATGTAATTATGATGTAACCTTATAGTGATAAGGCGAGACTCTTTACTTGAAATTATTAATACATTAAAGATTTTGAGTCTGCCGCCCGCCTGTGGCGCAGGCAACACAGATTAATAGTAATGGTGGTTGGGTTGGAGCGGAGAGAAACGGGATGAAGACCTTAGAGCCGCACACTTAGAAATTTGCCGATGTCCCCGTTAATTATGTTAAAATTTAGGCTACCCTGTAGAACTTTAATCTATAATCGGCTCATTGAAATCTATGATTGTGATTATTTTCGCAAAAAAAAAAAAAAAAACAAACTGATCAAAAATTGAGAAAAGTAAGAGCACGAATCACGAATCTAACACTAGTAAAGAAACGGGGACGTTTATAGATGTGGAACCTCAGATATTATTTATACTTCAACAAGAAAATGGTATAGTTAGTATAGTAACATATATTATAATATCAGATATGTTATAATGAAAAATTAACCGTTAATATACGAGTAAATAGAATGTGTTAATTTTACATACAACGCATAAAGTCATAAATAGAATGTGTTAATTTTACATACAGCTCATAAAGTCATAAGGAAAGTAATATCCGATAATCTTGGATATTACAGTATTACTAATATTATTTATATATCATTCGTAGATTAGAAAGCAATATCAGATATGACTAAATATCTCATTGTCATCGTTATTTTTATTAACACTCAAAAATGTATGGTTTACTATTCTAGAGTACTATTCTAGAGTACTATGGCTTGGCTAGTATTATACGTTAATAATTGGTCTTCTTCTTGAATATTATTGATTAAATATTGTATGCCGGAAGTTCTTGATATTTCGCTTTATGCCCATATACACTATCGCAACGATTTTTGAAGAAATTAAAAAGCAATTCTTAAATGCATCTTATATAGTCAAATTATTTTATCTTATGTAAAATCACACCCTGAATAAAGTATCGTTCATACCTGAACAAATTTTTTTACTACTTTCAGCTTTTAAACCAACCTATCGGAACCTTAGACAGATCTATAGCAAAAGGTTCATGAGATTATTCTTTTTGATGAAATACTGAAAATCTAAAAATTACTGTATAACTAAATAAAGAAAAATAATAATAATAAAATATTAAATACCTCTTATTGATCTATATATATACGTTTCTTATACATGAGACAAATTATTGAATTACATAAATGTAAGATTTTATACCAGAATATACCGGATAGCCCGTGGGTTACCCGTCAACCACTTTTTCTTCTATATACTTTTTAAATTTTTTTTCTTTTAATCTTTTTGTTCTATTTTGCGTTTGATTTTAGGAGGGATTTACTAAATAAATCTTTTCAAGAAATCGTAATCCAAAATATTGTAAAGGCAGTGTATAATTTTGTTAACCCTGTGCTCATATAATTTATGTGAATAATTTTAAAATGTGTGTATTATAATTTTATAATTTAATCAAATTGATACAGATAGATTTGAACATATGTACAATAAACAATGTGCTTTATGTGCACATATTTTGTATTTTATAATTTTGGTGCATTATTCAGCCCAAAAATTTGCCGAAATTTTTTTGAAAAAATGTAGTTTATACACAATGTTTATTTCAGTATTTACCCGAATTATTTTACCTAAGAGCTTTAACTTTTGTTCCTTAATGTCCTTTTATTTTTGTTGTAAGTATAGTAGAAATAAAAATATGAATTACAATAAGAAATACAAATAATGAATGCGAAACAAAAAAACGAATCACAATTTATAATTAGAGCAAGTTAGATTCGAATTATCGAAAGGTTATGCGATTTGTGGTAGCTGAATTTGCACATGCTTTCTCCAATTTTTGATCAGTTTGTTTTTTGCAAAAATAATTACAACCATAGATTTGATTATTGATTAAAGTTCTACAGGGATAGCCTAAATTTTAACATCATTAACAGGGGCGGGTGCCGGACATCGGCAAAATTTCTAAGTGTATGGCTCTAAGGTCTTTCACTCCGTTCCCCTCCGCTCCAACCCAATGACCATATGGCTCGAATTATAAATAGTGATTTGTTTTTTTTTGTTTCGCGTTTCTTATTTGTATTTCTTATTTTACATTTTCATTTTTTATTATACTTACAACAATAAGAGAAATAGTTAAACCTCTTACGTAAAATTATTCGGATAAATAATAAACATTTATTTTATAGCATGTAAAAATCTAAGAACATAGGTTTAACACAATTTTTCCTTTATCAATGTATAAAATCTATATGCGCAATGTGCTCAGTCACATTTTAAAAATTTCACGCATTTTTAGTAACCTTTTGGATATATGTTCAAATATATCTATATCAATTTGATTAACGTTAAATTATAAAATTAGACTTTACTAAAACGCACCTATGGTGTTTTACGCATACATGTATATTATCTCAAAAACTGGCTAACTGTTCTATGCTCTTATGACAGGCAAAATCGATACTCCAACTTTATGTTACAACAAAAGCGGAGAAAAAGGTTACTCGGCAAAGGCGTGACGTGACGTTTGTGATTTAGTTAATATCTGAGATACTCTTATAGGGATAATTATTATCGGGTTAGTGAATTTATGTCCCTACCTCGCACATAAGAGTCGTAACAAACCTCAACCAAATTACTTCCTTTAAATAATTTTCAAAGACTATAGGACTTAAATTATGACTCACCTTTGTTTTCTATAACTCATTGTTTTCAATAGTCTTTGGCAGAACAAACCTCTTACATTATCTTAACCCAAGCCTCTTGAGGCACGGTTTGTTTAGATTTTCGAAATAACACTTTTACCTTGTGACACCCTCAAAAACCCTTCCCAAACCCTAACCTTAACCCTAGAAATTGACCTTAACATGAAAAAAAATTGTGTTAAAAATTTTGTATGCAAAACATATAAAAACTTAGAAAATTTTAAGAAATATGATAAAACATATAACAAGTGTAAAACCACCATAGGTGCGTTTTATAATAAATGGGAGACCCCACAGCAAAAGGTGGTGATGGGCCAAAAAATTTTTCTGTAATGTTTGATATTGTATTCTAAATGATCTAATTTTTACAAAAATAAAATTTTTACAAAAAAAATTTTTTTTTGCCCATCACCACCTTTTGCTGTGGGGCCCCCAAATGTAAAATTACATGTGCATTGTGCACAAGTTTTACATATTTTTGAGATTTTATACACTGCCTTTATAATATTTTTTGATTACGATGATTTCATTTCTCGAAAAAACAATTACGGTCAATATACTGTCTAATTGCATATTGTCTAATTACATATGAAAATGGTTCTTATAACTTAAATGAATACAGGATCGACGGTATTTAGTAAATCCCTCCTAAAAAAAACGCAAAAATGTTAAAAAGAAAAAAATTTAAAAAGTATAGAGAAGAACAAGTGCTATCTATGTAGCCGACGGGTAACCTGCGAGTTATCCGAATGAATCGAGGGGTATATTCTGGTATAAAATTTTACATTCATTAATTTGTTTCATGTATAAGAGGTGTACATATAGATCAATAAGAGATATATAATATTTTTACTTAGCTATGATTTTAGATTTTCAGTATTTCATCAAAAAGAATAATCATGTATCTTTCTATCTGTAACGCTATAGATTTGCCTAAGGTTCCGACAGACTGGTTTAAAAGCTTAAAGTAGTAAAAAAATTTGTCCGGGTATGAACAGTGTATGAACGATGTTTTATACAGGATGTGATCTTACATAAGGTAAAAAAATAATTGGTGCTATAAATGCATTTAAGAATTGATCAAAATTGTTGTAAATGTTAAATATATTAAAAAAACCGATTTATATCATTCATCCATACTCTTATATGATATTTCATTTTCTTTAAGTTTTTGTTACGGGCGAAAAGTAACATTCCTGAAAATAAAGATAACATTGCACCATAAATCCTGTGAGTAAATAATAGGACTAGGTGAAACCTGCGTTGTAAATTAGTAAAATCAGCTAGTAGGTCACGTTAGAGTGAAATCCGCATTTAGATATATCAGTCAGCCTGAATCCGGATATAACCCCTTAAATCCGGATATAACCATTAAATCCGGATTTAATGATTAAATCCGGATTTAATAATTATATCCGGATTTAGTTGTGGTATCCGGATTTAATAATTATATCCGGATTTAACTTAGTCAACGATAACGATAGAGCCACTTTACATAGAAACCTTTAAATCTTACAAGAATTACATAAAGTTGACCAAACTTTCTGACTTCTATATGATTTTTTCGAAAAACACGATAACATTTTTTGGACATTTTGGTTTTGCCGTGATTAACGAAACATGTGCCATACTTCTAAACTTGTGGTTTTTCAGGTAAGCACGCTTTGGTGGAAGTTTATTTAATTGACTTTTTATAGTTCTAACTTTTTCACATTTTAATACATTCCTTTTCTGAACGCTTTGATTTTGTTGTGAGCAACAAGAATGTGCAATCTTCTAGATCTAAACTTTCGGTTTTTCAGTAAACAAGCTTTTGGTGAAAGTTTACTTAATTATGAACTTTTTTTGCGGTTCCAATTTTTTACCACATTTTAATCCATTTTAGATTGTTAAATCTTTTTAATTTTGAAACCTTTTAGCTCTTTGATCCGTTCCAGTGCTATTAATCACCTAAATGTGGTTTATTGAAGCAATCGTGATTTTTTTTTATCATTTAATTTTAATGAGTTCTTCTGCATTAGAGGAGTTCATCCTGAATTTACTAATCTGAAGGTCAATTAATATTAACATATAATTTTTAATACAGGCAATAACATTAGACCTCTTAAGATATAATGATGAGAAAATCAGAAGAGAATGTATTTTAGGAGTCAAATCAATAAAAGAAGTATGACTATACAACGATTTCTTGTTAAATAATTAGATAATGCAGTTGAACTTCTCAATGCGATTCCGGGAAAACCATAAGAAAGATAGCATTTAAGAAAGTAATGCATTCAGAAATGACAAGTTTTATTAATTTGGGATATAAGACTTATAGGAGTATACGATAAAGCTGTAAGCTTACGGAGGTTTATTTACGTTTAGAGAAGTATAGTGGTAAAACCTATACTGTACAGCGCAAACCATAGTACTCTGGATATAATATATTTTACAGACCAAATCTAAGTTAGTACCTGGGTACTATTCTTGTTCATAAAAATCAATTAAATTAGCATAGGTGTCCTTTATATTATATCCGGATATTTTACATTTCGCCATATAATTTTTAAAGGTATGGAAGGGTACTATCTTGAGAATATGTATTCAGATTATGATTTATATTGATGATTTTGTTAAATAGTTGTCATTGATTATATTTTATTTTAAATAATAAAAATAATTTTTTAATAAATATTTAGCTTCACTGGTTAAGTTTAAAAAATTTTTTTTTAAAAAATCTTGGGTTAAAATTTTATTATTTTATTATTTCAACGATGCTTAATCCTGCTAGAAAAAAAGACAAACTACTAAAACTAATACCCAAACTAATACCCAATCAGTCTCATCTGTTGCTTCTAGTAGCAAATCAAACCCAAGGGCAAACGCTACTTTTATATGATATTTTTTTCGGGATGATGAAACTAATAACATGCTTACATATTATAAAATTTGCACTCAAGAACTAAAGGAATTAGATGGAATTCAAGCTACTCCATATCCATATAGTAAATCAGGAGGTAGTACAGGACATTTGGTCTATCATTTATGCGACAAACATCATATAAATTTAAAAAATTTTAAAAAATATCTTGATGATAATGATGAAGTAAATTTATGTTAATAATAAAATAATTGAATTTTAAATAAGTTTTTAATTTTTTTCTTTCTTTTTTAGTCTATAGTAATAACTAATAGAGAATTAAAATCGACGGACCTAGACCTACCTTCTCTTTCACCCAACAAACAAAGGGAATTAACTAAGCTTATAGTAGAATTCATTGTATACGATGTTCAACCATTATATATATTAAAAAATCCGTCCTTCTGTAAGCTTCTTCATGGTTTCAATCTACAGTATCAAATACCAAGCGCAAATACAGTAAAAAAATATATTTCAGAAGCTTATTTATAGAGATCTAAAAAGCTTAAAGAGCTGTTACTAAATGTTAGTACTGTTAATTTGACGACGGACCTGTAGACTGCAAAGAGCAATTACAGCTATCTTGGTATAACCATAACATGGTTAACATCTGATTTTAAGCTTCAGGAAGCATTGCTCTCGAATCATCATATGCCATATCCGCATACAGGTCAAAGTATTAGTGAAGAATTATTTCTCATCGCATATAAGTAGGAATTAATAGATAAAGTGCATACCATTGTAACAGATAATGGTGCTAACATGATAAAGAGCATCAGTTTATTAAAAAAAAATTACTTAACTGATATTATTTGGCAATCATGCATCGCTTATACCCTTCAACTTTCAGTAAAAAAAGGGTTAAAACAAATTAAGCCAATTCATAAATGGCTCAAAAGCATTCAATCGTTCTTTAGACTTCCAAAGCAGGCGCAACGATTGCAAAATATACAAGGGCAAACAGATTCATTTGATGTAGACCAAAGTAATGCTAAAGATGAAATAATAAATCCACTTGAAGTTTTAACCAACTGTAAGACCTGTTAGAATTCGACTTACTTGGTGTGGAAACGAATTTTATTATTATATCCAGCAATGCTCAAGCTTGCAGCATCATTATGAAATAAGTTAGATGCCATATCAAAACGGGAAGGAGAAAAGCTTTATAAATTGTGTTTAACTACAGAAGAAAAAGAGTAAGTTTTAATTAGCGTTAGATGATCTTAATTATAATTTCATTAATGGATTAGCGTGTAGCCAAACTAAAACCAGAAAGTATAAGACTACGTATAAGTCATCCCAAGTAACAATTAGTATAGATCAATTTTTTTATATATTACTTATATTAGATGTGATAATTAATTCAAGTGATAAATAGTCTATCTGGACGGATACCTCTAGAACAATATTTAACGCTATAGCGGATATTCATTATAACAGGCAGAATTTCTTGTCCAATCACTATATTATAGTGAGTGTAGACTATATATGCAATTTAATGATAAGTCTAATCTTAAATTTTTTACTTGGTTTTAATTTGGCCGCACTCGTATAGGAGTATAAAGTACCTATACCATACTGACTCACTATTGGAGTTAGGAATTATATATTCCTTATACTGGTTCAATACTATCAGGAATCTGCATAACGTAGGGTATATTATTCTATTAATTATTATTTTTTTTTTTAAGATTTGTAGAACAAATGGTTGATCTTTTAAAACCATTTGAAAAAATTACAAGGCATATTTGTGGATCAAAGTATCCTACCCTAAATCTCGTATATCCTTATATACGTATTCTAAAAACTAAGTTTGCGCTAATAAGTGAAAAGGGAGAATCGTTAGAATCTTGGATTGATCTTATTTATGGATCAGAAGATCCAGGTACTAACGATGATTCAAGCCTTAGTAGTGATAATGAAGTCGATATACTATCAGCAGGAAATTGACAACACTGGCAATATACACACTGAAGTGTACATCATCAGAAAAGTCAGGTTGGTTATAAAAAGATTAATAAAAAAAATAAAAGAAAAAAGGCTGTTCCTGAGTTAAATAATTTTAATACCATAGAATATTTGCCACCAGTGAACTGTTCTGGGTTTTTAGAAAAAGCATGAGCCGGAATTTTTCTATCTCTTGATGAATTATGAAACTCATCTAATGAAATGGGCTTGAAGGCTTCTCTTTTGGGTATGTATCATTTACAGACACCTTATTTTATAGACAATTGATTCACAAACAAGTTTATTTTAAAGATAATTAATTTATAGACAGTTTATTTCATAGACAGTTTGTTTTATAGACAGCTCGTTTATATACAATCTTTAATAGTAGATCATAAGTTATTTGCCGTTAAAATTTGTCTATAAAATAAATTATTTGTAAAATAAACTGTCTATAAAATGAACTGTCTATAAATTAATTGTCTTTGAAATTAACTTGTCTATAATTATTCATAAAATAAGATGTCTATAAATAATTTTCTATGAATTAATATGTACCTATTACTTTTAGATCCATGAGCATTGAAATTACTTTCATTTGCCACTATTCAAGAGCGAGAAGAAACTGAATTCCAAATCCGCGCCAAACTATTATCACTAGAAACTCAGCTAACAAATTCAAATAATAATAAAGAGGCGGAAAGAAATTTAGTAACTATCAATGAAGATTCTCAAGATTCTTTAAATGCTGAACTATGGGAATTATGTTCAATACCTGATCAAGCCACTACTAAAGATGAATTCACTCGTTACATGAAAGAACAAATTGCCCACAAAAATCAAGATCCATTAACATGGTAGGAAAATAAACGTATAAATTTTCCTATTCCCACAATGTCAGTTCCATCAGAATGTTTATTTTCTGATGCAAATACACATATTTCAGCTAAAAGGACTTGTCTTAACCTTAATCTAGTTGATAAAATATTATTTTTAAAAAGAAATTCTGAGCATACTTTTATGTTCCAACCTGAAAATGTATAATGTGATCTAGCATAATGATAAATAATACTAGAATGTGCAAAAAATATAAACTTATAACTTAGCTTAATAAATAATAAGCATAGTCCAATTTCTTATTATTCCAAGTGCGATCTTGTAAGAGCTTTGGTTTAAGCAAATAAGGTTGTCATTAAAATTAAATATATTCTATATAAAATCCAAAGTTAATACAATAATAGCTTTTATTGTGAAGAGAGAGCGTTTATATTTTTTTTGGCCAATCAGACAACATATTATCATGTTAAATCCAGATATAATTATTAAATCCAGATATCATAACTAAATCCAAATATAATTATTAAATCCAGATTTAATCATCAAATCCGAATTTAATGATTATATCTGGATTTAAGAGGTTATATCCGGATTCAGGTATTAACTCTAGTTAGCTATGATGTTGTGCAGATCATTTTTAATATGGGGTCAAATGATTGATGCACCTAAATTTTATATGTAAAATTTTGAAAAATTTTGTATTCCAAGTTTATTTAATAATAAAAAACTTGTCTACTTAATTTCTAGATATCATTTGCAGATTATCTAACATTCAAAGGTTCTTCTTATAAAATTTCAAGGGTGGTTTAAAATAAAATGGAAAATAATCTTGATTATAAAGTTAGCATATTTTTTTACGATTTTTACTATTTGTTTATAAGTTGTGTACATCGTTTTACCAAAATAAGTAAACAGAGACTGTCATTTAATTAGGGTTGGAGGCATGGTAGTCCAGAACATGCCTCAGGGGCATGCCCTTTTTTCAAAAAATTTATATATAAAAAAATTGGCATACAAAAAATTTTAGGGGCATGCCTATAAGGCATGCCCTTAAAACAAAAAAATTGGAGGCATGCCCAGAGAGCATGCCCAAAAAATTTTTCGTACCTCCAACCCTACATTTAATAGACAGCCCCTGATTACTTATTTTGGGGGTCGTCTAAAGCCATGTCTATCATGTGATCTAGAGCCAATAGAATTGTTTATTTTGATCAACATGAATTAACTTGAAGTGATAAAAAATAGCGAAAAAAGTAAAAATCGCAAAAAATACAAGAAACGATAGTTTAAACCCATTCTGGTGCATTAATAAAAAAGGTTGGGAAGACAATTTTACTATAAAACATGCTCTGACTCTAACCCAAACTAACCTTTACCCTAACTTTAATTAAGAAACAAAAAACACATGACTGGACATGGCTTTAGACATCCTTTTATTTTGGTCAATGTACACAACTAATAAACAAATAGTGAAAATCGTAAAAAAATAGGCTAACTTCATGATCAGGATTATTTTCCATTTTATTTTAAACCACCCTTGAAATTTTATAAGAAAAATCTTTGAATGCTAGATAATTTGAAAATGATATCCAGAAATTAAGCAAACAAATTTTTTATTATTAAATAAATTTAGAATGCAAAATTTTTCAAAATTTTACATATAAAATTTAGATGTATCAATCATTTGATCCCATATTAAAAATTTTATAAACGACATCATGGCTGACTAATATATATTTTTTTATTATACAAAATTGAATTTCATCCTCATGTGATCTGCATAGCAGATTGGAGGCATCCATAAATAATGTTATATACCCCACATAGAACTTCTTGACTTCCTCTAGACTATATAAAAAAATATATAGACTGATTTGAGAAATTGCTGATATCTTTTGATTTACTGATCTGTTCTGGATGATTTAGCTACTAATATGTTTGTCTCAATGAGATGATTCTAACAAGCCTAAAATTGTTAAGATCCAATCACAGGATCCTGAGATCATTCAGATTTTATGTAATTTTAATAAGAGATTTTAGAATTATTATATAAATATGTTTGATAGTGAATAACTTTTGATCCACTGGTCCATTTTGAATGTTTTAAATGCCAACATGTTCATTTTAATAAGATGATTCTAACAAGTTCAAAATTGTCAAAATCTAATTACAGGATCCTGAGATCGTTAAAGATCAATATGATGTAGACAATCAACTAAGAAATAGATTGTACTATATGGGGTGCAGACAATAGAAACAGCCCATTTTTATATTTATCTTATTTTGAGATAATTGAGCTTAATCATTTGTTTTGATTTTCAAACTGATCCAGGATTAATCAAATTTCACGATTTTGATTGGCTAAAGGTAGCTAGTAACTATCGAATAATCTCGTGATATATTGGCTCTATAAAGTCTTGTATAATTTTTCTTTTACATTATCTTAGTTTTTTATTATGCAAATCAACTTTCATTTATAATTGAAAAATGTTAATCATGTCAAAATTTATACAAATTTAATAAAACTCAATTTTCAAAAAAATGTAAAAATGAGCTGTTTCTATTATCCGCATCCTATATGGTGTTTTTCATATTAAAAGAGCCCATTTTGCAATATAAACAATTTTGAGATAATTGAGTTTAATCATTTGTTTTGATTTTCAGACTGATCCAGGATTAAGCAAATTTCACGATTTT